TTATCCAAGAGAGCATTCAGCTGTTCCGTGTCCCTTTGGGCTTGATCCAATATTGAAATTATATGTATATTCCAACACCCAATAGCATCCGTAATAGCTACAACTATGATAGCTATCTATCTCTAGCGATCAGCTAAAGAGTATTTTTCTGTAATTAGATGTTTATATGATTTTGAAAATAACTAAAAATGGAATAGTGGACTACGATTAACAATTCCCATAGTGTTAATTGTGTTAGGTTAGTTGGGTTGTTGCTAGTAGTAGTGGCTTGAAATTTTCAATAATTAAGACTTATTTTGAGACACTTTTAAAACATTGGAGCATTACACAAAAACATCTTTGGATGATTTCCAGTGACAGTAGCTAGCATTTGTGGCTATGGATTTAAAGTAGCTTAAACAGCCATTCAATTCAAAAATTGAGCAAAAGTCAATTTTTCTGGGACACTCCAGCATTCTATTTACAACAATACCTACATCCAGCATATAGCATTCTATTCCAACAGTACCTACATATCCATAACCCAGCATTCTATCTCACAACAGCCTACATCCAGAATTTTCCTGGATCATTCATCCCTCACACAACTCATCTATACTTTCTCCATTAACGCACTTTTGGGAAGCCAAGACAAAAAAAAAATTAATGACGAAAATAGACGCGAAAGATTTTCTGGAAAATTTCAATAGTTCTAATTTTCAGACACTCTGTGAAATGTAGATACTTATTGCCCATAGTTATAGAGAATCAAATAAATCACTATTCAATTTTTTTTTTTTTTAAAAACCAAAATAAGAAAGATCTGCATTGTTCCAGATTCAGACATTAGAAAAATCAAGGGTTGTTCGTCCAAACTCAATAAATCCCAATTACCAAAAAATAATTGATTCACTATGGACACACGACGCTATAATCGGAAAATGGCGGTCGAAAAATCTTAACTTGTGTGAGAAAAAATCGATAATTCCCGGACGCGACTGGCGATACTTCATCTATCGGCGATTCGTACTCGACTAAATCTAAATCCCTTTGTCTTGTCCGACAAAGAAATCCCAATCTCAACCCCAAAAAAAAAGTAAACAGATAAGGTAATAAATTTGTGATAGGCGAAAAAAACTAACTGCGTAGTAGAGTAGTACCCGACGGCAAGTGTAAATACCCTGTTTGTAGCTATACAGGGCCGAATTAGTATTACAAAGCAGAAAACTGTACAAAATACCGTCAAGATGCTGCACAAAGCCTAGAATCCGAAAATCGTATACAAAGTGGCTTCGAAACCGTTCTTGTAACGGTTTTGGAACACACCTTGATATTAACTTTCAATTTTTGTCTATTCCAGGCGCTAGGCTCTCTGAAATAATTCCGAGGTTTTCAAATTGTTCAAAATGTCGCTGGAAAGTGTTCTAAATGGCTTAATGAAGTTCTAAAGTGTTCTAACTTGGCTTGAAGAGTTCTGGAGTATTTTTAAAGTTTTTCGGTAACTTCTTAATGGTTCTGATAGATTTTTAAGTATTTTAGAGCCCTATCGAAGCTCCAAAATGTTCTAAATTGGTTCAATAGAGTTACAAAAGATTTCCAGTTCTAAATTGATTCCTGTTTGTTCTAAAATAACTCTGAGGTTTCTCAATTATTATTTCTCGATTATTTTTGATCAAATTATCAATAGCTATACATCATTGGAAAGTGCAATAAATTCGCTATAATACCTGTGCAAAATTGGGTTTTGTACCTTATAGAGTTTTAGAAATATTGAGCCTCAAAGTTGAAATTTAGTCTAGTCTACATTTTGTCCAAAACTTCAAAATCTTTTTTCTCAAAAACCGTAAATGCTAGCGATTTCAACCTCTATTCGGAAATTCCCCATAACTTTTGAGAACTCTGTCTCTCTATTCCTACATATTGCATTTAAATGGCTTTTTTTCCTTTTTTTATTCTCCTTTTCATATATGATGAATATTAGTTTATTTTTCTTTTCTATATAAATATTTTCCATTTTTTTTTTGTTTTTTTTTTAATTTATATTTTTTTTGTATATTGTTTTTTTTTGTCTTATTTGTATATTTTTTTCTCATTTTATTAATATATATATATTTGTTTTCAATTCAATCATGTGCTACTAAATTTTAATATTTGAGTCTAACATAAATTTGTACAATCTTCTATATACATTGAGTTTGGCTAGGTCATAGAATAGCTCTCCTATGTATCTTTCATGTATAGGGCAATCGAGAATAAAGTGGTTTAGATTTCCTGGTTCTAAACATTCGCAGATGTCATTATTTTTTAGTCCTATTTTTTTCATATGTTCAGGAAACAGGGCGTGCTGACTTCTTGATCGGGAGATGGTCCTTATGAAATGTCGGTTTGTTTCTGTGTAAAACCAGGGTTTTTTATTTATGTTAGGAAAAATTTCTTTGAAATGAATGCCTTTGTTAGATGCTAGATATTGTTCCTTCCAGCTATATATAATTCGCATTTTTGACTTTCTATATAGATCTGTATGTGGAAGGTAAAAATTTTGGGAAAAGGGTTCAACTATTGGGGTTTTATCACCTTTCAGGTATTTTTGGCATAATAACACAAATAATAGGAATATAGGGTAGGTAAATAATATATCTAAACATTTAATTATGAGTTTGAAATCACGCCAAAAAATATATCAAAGCCTTGGGTATGAAAATTTGGAAAATGTGTAGTGATCATAAGCAAAGATACCTTTAACATGTCAACAACTGGGTACTTTACCTTACTAAAGACTAAATATGACCAGACCAGAAAGCAGAAAGCTCCAAACGTATTACTGCACTTTTAATGTTATGCACCTTTCACATAAGTGCGAGTGCGATAAGATAGTGCCTGTAACTATTGAAATATAATTATTGGAGTTCTAGAATTCTCACAAGGCAAGTATAAATACCCTGTTTGTAGCTATACAGGGCCGAATTAGTATTACCAAGCAGAAAACTGTACAAAATACCGTCAAGATGCTGCACAAAGCCTAGAATCCGAAAATCGTATACAAAGTGGCTTCGAAACCGTTCTTGTAACGGTTTTGGAACAGACCTTGATATTAACTTTCAATTTTTGTCTATTCCAGGTGCTAGGCTCTCTGAAATAATTCCGAGGTTTTCAAATTGTTCAAAATGTCGCTGGAAAGTGTTCTAAATGGCTTAATGAAGTTATAAAGTGTTCTAACTTGGCTTGAAGAGTTCTGGAGTATTTTTAAAGTTTTTCGGTAACTTCTTAATTGTTCTGATAGATTTTTAAGTATTTTAGAGCCCTATCGGAGCTCCAAATTGTTCTAAATTGGTTCAATAGAGTTACAAAAGATTTCCAGTTCTAAATTGATTCCTGTTTGTTCTAAAATAACTCTGAGGTTTCTCAATTATTGTTTTTCGATTATTTTTGATCAAATTATCAATAACTATACATCATTGAAAAGTGCAATAAATTCTTTATAATACCTGTGCAAAATTGGGTTTTGTACCTTATAGAGTTTTAGAGATATTGAGCCTCAAAGTTGAAATTTAGTCTAGTCTACATATTGTCCAAAACTTCAAACTCGATTTTCTCAAAAACCGTAAATGCTAGCGATCTCAACTAAATACCATCTTGGAGCCCTTATCAAGTGCTACAATTTCTATTCGAGTACCTACCGCTTTTGGTTACTGACATATTAGGGATTCAAGATCTCCAAATAAAAATCCAAAGGGGGTAGGTGGGTACCCTTAGAAATAAGTGCAAAAAATTGAAAATGTCTATTTTTGGAGTTTTCTTAATTTTGACTTTAGAAATCGATAGAGCGAATCCGAATTAGTCAGAAACCACTCTAACATCAATTACATTTGGAAATTTCAGTGAGAGAGAAAATTTAAAAGGAAATCTCATTTTTGGCTCTGGACATTTTTTGAAATTTTGACATGCTCATGAATAATTGCTTATATTTTCGATTATTTTTAAGCAAATTATATCATTGAAAAGAGCATTAAATTCTCTATAAGGCTGTGTAAAATTGGTTTTCGTAACTTTCGGGGTTTCCAAGATCTTGAGCTTGAAATTTGAAATTTAGTCGATATTTTGTCTAAAACTTTAAACTCGATTTTCTCAAAAACCGTAAACGCTAGCGATTCCAGATAAATACCATTTTGAAGCCCTAGAGAAGACCCAGAAGCCTGTAATAGAAAAACAATGATTTTTCCATCAAATATTCACATAATATCAGGAAATTGCCTAGAAATTTAAAAAAATTAATTTAGAAAACCCATTAATTGTGTGAATTCTCCCGCTTAAAAAATAGCACAGAACCTAAAATTATAAAAAAAGTTTGATTAGAAAATCAATTACATAATTGAATAATTCAATTTTTTAAAGATAAAAGTCAAAATGACATTATGTTGGCTATACAATGTAAAATTGTCAATGCTTTCAAATTTTTTGTGTAGAAAAGGCTTGTGTTGCCAACATAGTTACTAAATTTTTGACTTGGGGAATTATCTTTAAAAAAAAAAACAGACTTTAGCTTTAACTTTTGTTTGAAATATTTAATTTCTACATTTTGTCTTACCTGAGCATATAAATATTATCCGATTATCTGAATCTTATTTACAAGAACCTCGACAGTTGTAGACATGATGTTGTGCGCAACTCGTGTGATATACCCACTAAGTACTAAAGACTAAAGTATGACCAGACCAGAAAGCAGAAAGCTCCAAACGTATTACCGCATTTTTAATGTTATGCATCTTTCATATAAGTGCGATAAGATAATGCCTGTAACTATTGAAATATAATTATTGGAGTTCTAGAATTCTCACAATTTTATTGCTTTTAAAGGATGTTTTTTTTTTGCCCCATAAAAATCCATTTTTTATTCACAAGAGCCAATTTTCTGTGGTTAGGAAAAATCGATTAACCTGTCCAATTCTAATGATGCCGCTTAACTTAAAACATCATGAAAAAATTGCCCTAAATGTGAGATTTAACTGTCAGTAATAGAAAAAATGTTCCACATAATTTTGCTATTGACCCTTTTCGGTCCTTGTGTTGTGGTTAAAGGATTTATGAATACCGAATTGGCTTTGATCTTTTTTAGAGGGAAACATTTAAAGCATAATGTGGTATTGACTTGTAGTGAAAAGAAAGGTGATAATATTTTCGAAAACAAACGGTAATATTCAATTTATTTGTATAAAGGGCAAGTTGAGATATTGAAGAATCTCACCAAAGAAAAAGATATGGTAATATCTGTGAAATTGATTAAAAATTTGGATATCCATGGTTCAATCGTATTTGACTATAATAAAGCAGGAGTTGTGTTGGATGTAGATTGCGTAGGAGCCGAAGAACTACTTATAAGGGTAATGAAATGGAATTTTCCTTAATAACGTAATTTTGAGTTCTAATAAATGTTACACTGTAGTCCAGAAGATATAGAGTCTTCGATACAAAAACCTTTTGGTTAATGCTTCATAGCTCCAACAACTATGGCCATCTATTCAGATATGTAAACCTGAATGTAGATTCTGACATAAAAGTTGCTTATCCAGCTAACGACTCAGAGATCTCAAATAAAAAGTACACAATTGACGATGTCTATAATCAGGCTTACGAAAAAGACGGAGAATTTAAGTCTAAAGAAGCTGGATTTTATGATACTCAATATGGTTATCAGGTTTTAGAGAAGGAGAATAAATATTTTGTGAGGCGGAATTTAACTGGAGTCAAATTTAGGTCGGCTGTTGTGGTAAGAACCAGTATCATAATTATAATATATGTATAGTATCTATAGCAAATTTGTTATTTTATCTCGTATTTTATGGAAATAATGTTTTAGGTACCAGACCCCATTGACGGTTCCTTGGACGATTATTTGAGAAATGATAGGGACCTTGAGTTGAATCCTTTAAATCGATTTCATGCAAGACTCATGCAATATTGCAGGGATTATTTAAATTATAGGTAATATATTTATAATTATAATAATTATATTAATAATAACAAAAGCCCGGGTTGGTCAGTTCCTCTATCGTGCGCGTCCCCTTGCCAATAGGGAAATGCTCATATACGTTACTGCTTCTGGTAACGGCGAAGGGTAGAGAGGAAACAAAACACTCCTGGTGAAGCAAAAATTGACATCACGCGTCTAGCCGAAGCAGAGGCCTCCAAAAACTGGGGGGGGCTGAAAAAGCCCGCTGTAGGCGAATTTTTTTTTTTCGGGTGCCACGCCCAAAGCCAAAAACTATTATTTTGAGCATTCAAAACAAATTTTCTGAACTACCGACATTTTATTTGACATATATGTGGAATCGACTAGACTCTGAATTGATTGATGCGACTCCTTGTGAAGGATTGGTGAATCAAATAAAGCATTGAAATGTGACTGGCTGATTAAAGGTTTGTTGTGAAAACGCTTTTTAATTAACTTCAGTGCAACCTGATAATTTGCGTTCGTAACCTCTAGGCAAGACCATGGGGGAAGGATGAAGGAAAAGCACACGACATCAACTTCAACTATTTACACTATATTACAACTTTTACACTATTTACAGACACGATTTGAGATTCAAGGATACTACGAAAGTAGAGCCTTGTGCTATAGGTACAAAACCATGAGCATAACTTATTTATAATTTAATAATTGCGAACGAATCGCTTGATGCCTTTTTTAATCTAACAACAACACGTTTTTTCTTCTGACATGAGATTGAGATTCTGACCTCAAGGCATAGAGAAATATAATAATAGTAAACTACGAGAGAAGTTTGTTTAATGAATAAATTTGGAAGTGTGTTTGTGCGCACACCCGTAGCACATTTCGCATGGTGTGGCAGATTATTGAACTAATTACTTCGATCGTTCCTGACAACTCGATTTAATTTGTCTTTGTCAGCAAATTGCCCGAAAATTTTCTATCTTTTTTTAACACATACAAAATGCAAAATTTGACAAATGATTGAATCCAAAGACCATCAATCAAAAACTGAATGCTCATCATCATAACGTAAAATTTCTTCTATTATTTATATTAGAGAAATGAGAAAACATTCTCTGATCATATCCATAATTATTAATTATTTAGAACAAACCGACACCAATAATAGTGTGTTTTCGAATTTGCGATGATGCGAGATGCAGTAAAAAGGTAAACACAAAACTTAATAAAGTCTGTTTTTTTTTAAAAGTTAATTCCCTAAGTCAGATATTTAGTAACTATGTTGGCAACACAAGTATTTTCTACATAAAAAATTTGAAAGCTTGACAATTTTACATTGTATTGCCAACATAATGTCATTTTGACTTTTATCTTTAAAAAAAAACACACTTTACAAACATTTTTAGTTAATGTATATATTTATAAAATTGGAATAAAAAAATAAGTTTGTTTAAAGATATTTCAATTTTTGTATTGTTCAATAACCTCCTTGACCCCCTTAAGGAATCTCATTTCACCTAATTTGGATTTGTTAACAATAAGTTCTGTTATCGTTCTAAACAGTTGCTCGGTAAATTTTAGCAAGTTTTGCAACAAATGTTTGCAATTAACTGTATTGGCTAAGTTTGATAATAATAAAGCACTATTCAGTTCCAATCTTGGGGGGTACAGGCCAACTGGGCACCAAACTCTTGAGGTCATAAACGTAGACCGGCCAACTCGACACCATCAAACGCAGGTAGTTTTCAAAGAGCCCCTAAGAGATAGGCCAACTGAGCACTCTATTGTCTAGAGGATAGGTCAACTGAGCACTCTATTGCTTAGGAGATTAATTTTGGCATAGGTATTTTATGCCCCAAAATTGACAATTACATCTCAGAAAATTCAGCATTTCCTCCTTCAATGAGGGCTTCAAAGAGCAGTAATCTATTTTCAACAACTAACCCCTGCGAGTTACTTCATTCTCATTGCGCATCCTAATAGAGACCACCATTATTAAATATCAATGCTTGATTTATGTAAAAATTCAAAGTATTATAATACCATTATTATTGTTAAAACTAAAAAAGTTAAACAAGCAGAATGTTTCTTAAATCAAAAAATCCTGGCACTCGATAATAATGAATTAACCGAGTACGATTTTGTTTAATTAGTTTCACATTATGTAGATACAAAATATAAATAGCTATTTACCTAACAAGTGCGGAAAATGAATTTTTCCGCACGCGGCTGCCGTTCACCGAACGACGCGTAGCGGAGTTCGGTGAAGCAGCCGAGTGCGGAAAAATATTTTCCGCAAGTGTTAGGTACAATATTTTTCCTACAGGCGTAAAAATGTAAAATTTTTATTTATTTTTTTGACAGATCAGTGCGGTAAAACTTTTTCCGCACTGACAGCCGTGCGGCAAAACTTTTTCCGCACTGATATGCGTGCGGTAAAATTTTTACTGCACCGTGCGGGAAAACACATTTTCCGCACGGCTGTAGGAAAAAACTTTTAAACGAATATTACCGCTTTTTTTGTTTGTACAAGAATAACAAGGCAATAGCATAGAATTTGTGATAGTAGGTATATAGTATAGGTATATGTCATGAGTAGAGTCCGGATTAAAAAGCATAAAAAAAGTTAAAATAAGCGCTTAAAAAGCATGTAATTTTTCACAAAAAAAGCATGGAATATGCATGAACAAGGCAAAAAAAGCAAAAAAAGTGGAATAAAAATGTATTGCTTATCTATAGAATACATGATAAAAAATATAGGTAATAGGTAACTAAACATTGAAATAAACAAAACAAAGTCTCTGATGAACAACAAAAAAAAAAGTTCTTGTAGAAACAAGCAATAACTTAATGCTGATTCAAATGTTCCATAGTGAAGTTTAGTCTTCTGTCACTTAAAATGTTTTTGTAGTAGGAAAAACTTCTTTCTACGTCAGTACTTGTTATTTGTTATGGGCGCGTATTTAAATTTTGCAACAACATATGGGTTCATTTTGTAACTCTAAGGCTCGGTTTATTCATCTTCAGATAAACTTATTGGTAACTATCTGCAAGATAAATTTACCGTTCTATAATTTTATTGGTCAGCGGATAACTGGTCGACCGATGAGATTACAGATTGCATGTGCTTTCATCCGTCAGATTGCATACCTGACAGTTTATCACAAGGTGAAATAAACTGACCCTAAGTCAGTAATTCCTACCTGCAACTAGTACCATCTATTGGTTTTTGGGCTGGGGTTTCCCGCGTATTATCGATTTAAAAAAAAAAGAAACATAGCGGGCGAGACTCGCGAGACAGGAGGTTTGTTTATTTTATTTCGCGTTGATATAAGAGTGTGCGAATTATATTTTCGATTCAGAAACTTGTATTTTAAAAAACATCAAACATCAAATTGCTACAGGCTAAAGCCAGAAAACAAATGAACGTTCCTTATGGGACGGCATCGGCTTAAATAAACATTTAATGCCGACATAGCAATTTGATGTTTACTTTACAACAATGTATTTAAAAAGTCCTAGAGGAAAGGGGTAAGCACATTAAAGCATATAAAAAATAGATAATTGATTATAAATCAGCATGGCAATTGGTTAATATAACTCCTCCCTCCTTAAGATGTTGCAAACGTGGAGTGTTGTGAATTCAAATCAGACAATTCAATTTGCACATTTGCACAACCTTTTTCTGAAGTTTTATATTTCCTAAAACAGTAGAACAGTAAAATTAAAAATAAAATAGCAAGACTTAAACCTATGATTACATATATGTTTAAATAAGATTGTTCAAAAGACAATTCTTTTAGATTATGAACTCTTATTTGTTTCGTCGTCTTGAAGGCTTCTTCTAAGTCTTCTTGGTTGATTTCTTGAAGTTCCAATGTTGTTGCGTTCTCTGGAAGTTCAGGGATGTCTATTTTTGGAATCTTCAGTTCAAAATTGAAGTTCACGCTGGTTTTTGAAAATGTTTGATTTTGTATTTTCACAAAGCATTTTTCAAACGAAACTAGCGTTGGATTTGTTATTATTTCCATATGGTTTGTCTTGTCACATTGAATAACTATGGTCAGGCTTTTCTTAGGAATGACTAATAGTTGTCCATTCGGGAGTTGTCTCACTGTTGGTTTTTCATATTTCACTTTAGTGAAAGGACATTGTTGTGGTAGGTCAGTAATCAGGTCATAGACACATGATTCTTCTTGCTTCAGCTCTTCTTGGTTACAAAGGTACACACTTTCGACTTTCGGGCATTCCCATAACGTATTGTAGTAAATGTCCGTAGTAAGTAATAGGTAAGGGTACTTATTCCTAATGGTAAGTTCTTGGATAGGAATTGGATAAATTTTATACAATATAAAGGGCTTGGGATCAATCATTGGTGTGTGTATAACAAATATAATTAACTCATTTTGGATTTTTACTTGAGTTTTCATTGTCTGTTAATACTTGATTTTATTATCAAAAGGTATTTGCTGACTTTTGGGTATATTTGTTAATATTTGATTTAATTCATTATGCTGTAAAATAGTATAATGCATTATTCCCAATTGTGCAAAATTTATTGCTAATTGCACATGATCAATAAGATTCCTTATTTTATTACTTTGAATATTGATGTTATTCAATATTAGATTAAAGGTTAACATTGAGTGGAAATTTTGGTTTTTCAAGGAAATATTTTGTAATTTTCCTGTGACAACCTTTTGATTAGATTCAATGGTTAAAAATTGATCGTGAAATGTTTTTGTAACTTGTTTCAATACTTGAGCTTGTGTTTTTAGATCTTTATTGAGAGTCTTTTGATTATCATTAAGCGTCTGGATATAAGAATCATATCTTGCGCCGTCTTCAGCATCTAGGGTTCCGTAGAGCCATTTTTGTGCTGTGCCCATGAAATTTAATAGACCTCTTTTATTACGTTTTCGGTCTTGATAGGTTCTGATTACTTGTTTCATAATCTTAATTTGAGAATGACTGTTTTCAATATTTGTTTGAAACAGTGCAACAAATTGGTTTGACCATGTTGTTTTGTT